CGTCAAAGATTCAGTGCGAAAATTCCAAGCTAATGACGTAGCAGAACGCCGGTTACTAAAGTAATGGCGCGAAAATACACAATCCATTGTAAGCCTACAACCAGAATCAAGGATCTCTGTAGTCAGCAGTGTGATATTGTTCGGGTTGAGCAGCTTGCAGATCAAAGTTTTAAACAAACGGCATTTTACAAGGCTGGTGTGAGGGCTCTCCCAAACGCTCATGTGCCATGTCTAAAAAGTTTTTACTAATCCATAGGGCTGCTGAAATGGTAGCTAAAATTGCCACTGTAATGTGTCTTTTCCATCTTCTTTGCCATACAGCCATGACAGCTATATTCTGATAGCGAGTCTCGATCGCTAGAGAGACGCTAGTGAAAAACCACTCGATCACCAGTTGAACTGAAGTTGAGATAGCAAAAGACTGTAGCAGTTCTAAAAGGGAATCATCTTTTAAGTATATATATTGATACAAATAAAAAACGCCGTTAACAGACACTATAGCAGTTGATTCAAACAACATGCTCATTATAGCGATATCAGCCATTAGTCTCTCACGGCGAGGAGTACGCAAACTTCCCCAAGGAGCTGATGTTCTTTTGCAAATCACGTGACAAATGTGATCAATTAGAACCATTGTGCTTCGTTCTATCACTTCTGTAGCGCCGTGAATCAATCCAAGAACAGCCATGGATTGTAAATTGTCAAGATCTGCTTGCAGCACTCGGAACATGATCGCTGCATGGCAATACAATGGCGCTAACAGGACACACGCATATCCCGGATGGGTAATGCTCCCTAGCCTCTGAACAAAAATTCGTGAGACTACTTTAAATAAGACTCCAATGAGAGGAGCAAAGAGTGCGATTACCAGGCGCAGTTTACTTTCCGTACTTTGCTTGTTATACAGAGGGTAAATAATACATTTCACAGCATCGGCAAGAATTATAATAGATCCGAAGGGAACTGTCATTTGTAAAAACAGAGCCATCTTCTCTCTTCTTGTCCGTCGCTGACGGAAGTGATTCGTTAGAAGATAGGCTTCACAACATACACTCATAACAAACAGAACATAGAGTGGAAGTTTTTGCAATGTAGAAAGCTTGGAATGAGATATTCCCAGGGCTTGTAGAACCACTCGATAAGTTGTGTCCAAGAAATATGCGAGGCAAGCAACCAGGATCAGTTTTCCTTTCACCCCCATTAACTGATGTGGTCGGAAAAAAAGTAAGGTGCATAAAAAGAACAAAGCGTATTGAAAACCAGAGGCGATTGCATCAGAAATTGATCTCATCCATTGGACGTTTACTGGAATGGACATTTTTGGGAGAAATTCGCAGTTTGTGATTTTATAACACAGATAGGAGATCAACAAGTATACTGAGCCTATGATGATGGCAGTCAGTAAAGAAATCAAAGCTCCAATGTACATTGATTTACAAACCGTTCTGAGAGCGGATGGTCTGAGTCGCTTCCAAGCCATTGCTCTATCTTCATCTTGCTGATCTTCCTGTGTTCCTTCGTTCTCCTCTGGTAAACTTGCGTCTATAAGTATTGCATTAATTCTGCTGGATCTTATGAAGTCTGAACTTGTGACTTCTCTTTCGCTGTATTCTTGATAAATACACTCCTCGTCAGCATCTCCGTGACGATACCATTCTCGACCTGTGCTTTCTAGAGGACTGTAACCAAAAGACTCTGCCGTGTATTCAGGTTCTTGTGGGTTGTAGTGCTCTGTGACTCCTCGTGTAAAACTGAACACGATATGACCAAACACCTCTATTAGTGTACTGCTACTCATTGCTCCTCAGAGACTCGAACAGATAAATGCTAAAAATAGTGAATTTTGATCCAAAGGGAGAAAAAAATAGCAGCAGGATTTAACATCTTCGTCTTATTCACTCCTCCTCATTTCCGCCTCATGTGATCAGTTTCGATTCGAAAGTGATGTGAAAGACGGTAATCGTGATATCAGCTAAATTCATAAGAAAGTGTAAGTTGGCGAGTACATCTTCAGTTGACTTGCTATCTCACCTCGATCAGTGTGTTGCTACTCATTGTGTTTGGTTAGGAGATCAGCTGACCAATATTTTAAAACCCAAGTAGTATATTAGTCAGTACAGGAGCCCGTTTCCTAACCGACACTTGGTTAGTGATGGTCTTAGGAGTACAGCAAGCAGCTTAAATGAAATTCGGTGACAATCGCAGTTGACAAACTATGTCTTCCTGTGTTATTTGCTTCAGTATCGTTCCAATCCTTTTGTGGAGAAACCAGCGGCCCGTATCACTGCTGTGTCTTGTGAAGTTGTACTTTCGAATATTCACTTTTCATAAAGCGGGTTTTTGTGTTCCGCCTGTTAATTAAGTAACTACGAAAACCCTCAATTTTCGACTTTAAAAGCCAAGAAAAAGTATGTAGCCCAATAATGATCAATCTATTAGCAATTCCTTGAAGGTTTTTTATTCGGCAAATCATAGAGTACGCAATTTCTTGAGAGTCTAGAAAGTCGTTTTCACACAAACTAAAGCCAGATCTTCGTGTATGCCACATTCAAATTTTCCAGCTAAAAAAGTTGAATTTAATTTGTCTATCTGATAATATGGTAACTTGGAATGAATGTTTAAGCAAAAAGAACTGTCATTCCAAAGTGTTCTCAGACATCTTTCAATGGTTTTTCGTCTCGCGCTTCGCGCTCGTGATCGCGATCCGCGCTCGTGTATCGCGTTTCGCTGTCTGTCCCGCTCATCCGCCTGCTCTGCAGGCTGGCGCGACCCTCAAACAGGTTCAGCTTTCCACAAGTGTTACAGAAAAAGGTGTTCCTATCCTTATCTGTCTGTTGACATGACGTCGACAGATTTCGAAACACATACGCGTGATGATGTGCGCATACCACACCATGAGAAATTAAATGTTCCGAATAATCCAATTCAGTAATATTCAAATTGAAAACCTGTTGAGAAGCATTGGCGTGTAACGTTGATTCCCGACATTAATTACTGCAGTTCTTATGTAATCGGTTCACTTTGCTCAAGGTTTTAGTTTCTCCGAGTCAAGTTTCTTCGCGGAAAACTATTCAAGCCACATGGCGTTCGCGCAGTTATTAACAGCATTGGACACCCTGTTTAAAAGCTATGACGGATTGAAACTGTCGCTGGCTAGTCTTTCTGAGAAGGTTTTCAACATAAGGGTAGACCCTAGACGTCAAGCGGCAAAGATAAATGTTTTCCTCAAAGATACGCGTAGTAATCTTTCCTTCTATTTGAAATTTCTGAAAAAGATGAGCGCTGCCATCATGCAGGACCAAGTGGACTTTATAAAGAAGGCCAACAGTCAAGCCAGTACCGCCCACGACACAATGACAAAGTTGAAGGAGCACACCCAAGCGAAAGGAATGTCAGGAGCGCTGGAAGCCGTGGTAGCCGAACTTCGAAAACAAGAAGAGGTCAAGAACAAGGGTGAAAGCGGCGGCGATGACAACAAAATCATCGAGAAAGTACTGCAAGGAGCAAGCATGCTTGTACAAGAAATCACTTGGGGTTTATTCCGTTATATCAAAGAAGAAATCCGTAAAGCATTGGATGACAGTAAATTCTTCACTAATGCTGCTGCGTTGGACGAAGAAGTAAAGAAAGTGAAACAATCAATAACTCAGTTACAGAGTGCGTGCAGTGATAATATTCCGTACTCGATAATATTTCGGCACTTGACAATCTTATGTCTTTCAAGTCAAGTGCTGAAGCCCTCAACAAATCTTGTGATGAGAAATTAGCAAGCGTGAAGTCAGACTGACAAGACATTCAGTGTGTGATGGGTGTATAAACTCGAAGGGGAAAAAAAAACATTTAAATGAACTGGCTTTGCTAAATCTGCTTTGCTAAATCTTCTTTGAACCCTTTGTATTTTTCATTTGCACTGCTCTTAGCCTTCATCTGATCGGCTCCGATGATTGGTAAAAAAAGATTCAGATAAGCTTTACTGACATAAAGGCAACCGCAAAAAAAGTCTGCCTATTATGTTGTGGCTCTCCAGCCAATATTCTGTACTTTAAGCATTAGTTTTTGGAATTCAAAATTGACACTAGCAGTTAATAACTAGTAATATTTTTTTACATGATATTTTTATCGTTTCATTATATATTATTATTATTATTATTATTAATTATCATTATCATAATCATTATCACTATCACCATCACTATTATTAATAGCACTATTGAAGTTTACTTTTTTATTGTCACCAAGTAAAGAACGATTGCTATAAATGAAGTCAGTATTATTAACACAGCACTCACAACTTGCACATTTCTCTTTGACGTTAGCTTCGTGAATTTTCTACACACACGAAGTCCTACTCATACTTGATGCCTTCCTCTATTCTCCTCACTTCTCTCCTTAACAGTGTATTAATATTATCAAGAGAATTTATACTTTGATCTTGTTTCGGTTTTGACATATCAGCGCGGTGACTTTGAAGGAATTTCCGGAAAATACACTGTGGAAGGGTGCGTAAAAAAAGTCAGAAACTACTGTGGGAATCCAGTTATTTTTGATAGGTAGGTAAAGTCTGCATATGAGCCGAGTGGCCCACCAGGCCGGAGCTTATCTCGGTTTCTGTAGCATGAATCGACTGGGAGTATTTCTACTCCCTCCCTGGATGGGATGCTAGTCCATCGCAGGGTTACCCCCAGCATTTAATTCTCTGGTACCCATTTATACACCTGGGTGGAGAGAGGCACAGTGAGAGTAAAGTGTCTTGCCCAAGAACACTACACAATGTCCCCGGCCAGGGCTCAAACCTAGACCGCTCGATCCGGACACGACCGCGCCTCCCACCCACTTATTTATAGTTTCAGGAAATACTTAACAATGGCTTTGTAAACAGACGTGTAGCAATGACTAATTTGTATGCGTGACTGTCAAAATTGCTGAGAACTAAGCCAAGGTGACGAGAGAGGGAAGCTACTTAAAATAGCAACTACATCCGGCAAGAAAGAGGAAAAATATTGGAGGTTAATTATCGGCAATGTATTTTTTCCTTCTTCAAAGTACAAATGAACCATTTCGGATCTCCCTTAGCCTCTGTCTAAAATCGAGTCTCGGTGCCCCTCATTTCATATGAAAATAAGATTTCATTCACATGCTACATGGAATGAAATCTCATTTTCATATGAAAGGATGATGAAAATTAAACTCATTCATGAATGGTTGCGCACCAGCTCTCGCTTTGATAGAGGCTGAAGGAACTCGCAAAATAATGGGCTATTCTCTCTGTTGGTGATCCAATACAGCGTGCTGTCTTCTGCTTTGAGAGGTATCACTGTACCGCCTGGATGCTTTTGGTCACCTGACAGAATAGGCAAAGAAAGTGGTAAGTCATAAGAATGCGGAACAGAAATAACAGCTTGAAATTTGGACTCGCACGTGATCAAACATGTGATCACGCTATACATAGTGCGCGAGCGGTCCCAGTGAGAAACAAGTGTCTGGCGCTAAGGGGAAAGAAAAGCTAAGAAAGACTGCTTGTAGTATTTGTCTTGCTTACGAAAAGGCATTCTTTTTTTTCCTCTCCTCGGCCGCTGCCGCGGAAAAAAAAAAGAACGCCTTATCGCAGTTTCAGTGGTTTGCGTCTTAGGGTCTTAAGACCGTTAAGCAAGTTCTCTTAGGGGTGGAGGGAGGAAGGAAAGACAGCTTTGTCCTTTCCCCCGAAACCCTTGTTTGCTGCCAGGACAGAAACGTGGGACAGAAAATAATTTCTTTTCTCGTCTTAAGCTGTGACCACGCCAATTTGTGCACACTCCAGGCACACTCTTATATTCTGTGCACACTCTTATATTCCTTTTATGACCTCGTCAAGACAAAACCTGATGAAGAGAGCATTTAGATTACAATGCTCCTGATCGCATGTTTTTACGTCGTATTCCTGTCTTTAGTCGCCGCCCAGGATTCTCGCAAGAGTGAAAAGTAATATGACTTGCTCGAAACAAACAATCGTCAAATACTTGTGAAATGTTCGTGGCTAGTCTAAACAAACAACCGTCAAAATTAGAGCCAGATCAATTTATTCCATGCTTGTTTCTGGGACTGAAATGGGTAACTGAAACACCTCCATAGGGAGTTTAGGATTAACAGACTCAGATCGTCTCACCTCGTCAAACTTGTGAATCTGTCGAATGAAGAAATCTCCGTAACGCCGTTCCACTTTTGTATCAGCGATGTGAATCATGTCCTGAAAAGAAGAAGACAGATCAACACAAGGAAACTGTGATGCTCTATGAGTAAGCAAAGAACACTTTTACTGGTTAGTAAAGGTAAAGTCTGCGTCATGTCAGTGGCCCATCAGGCCGGAGCTTGCGTCTGATTGGCTAAGAAGGCCACAGCTTCTCTGTGATTGGTCGGAGTCGTAAGGTCACGTTGCACAAGTTTCTTGTACACATCATCAGGCTCAGGAAATGAAGATCATAGGCAAGTAACATGTTCGAAAGAAAACCGCTCTACGGTCACCTGATAAAATAGGAGCGAAAAACGTTTCGAGGGCTATTATACTATTGAAATGAAAGGCTCATATTTTAAGCCCCCTCCACACTACGCAGGAGAAATTTCAATGCATCAAAAGTTTTTTTTTCCGTCTACACTACGCCAGAGAAAATTGAAAACGCAACAATCATCGGTCAATCATATTAATATCGTGATGTCATCGATTCTGAAAAGCTCCGTTTTCAAAAAGTTTTCGATCCACACTAAAACGCAAAGCCGGCGTTTTCAAATTCCTCCGGTGTGAAGAGCGTTTTCCAAAAGCTCCGTTTTCGTGACGGATTAGTGTGGACGGTAGGCCTAACAGTAGAAATAAAGCTGCGTTTTCAAATTCGTCCGGCGTAGCGTAGACAGGGCCCTGACTTTTAAAGGTACCGACCTTTACACAGAAAGTAATTTTCAATGATGCCTTACCTGGTCAATGTAGAAGTCCACTTCAGAAGAAGACTGAAGTTCTCCTTCAAGAGCATCTGTGCCTTTAGTCCACACAAGGTTTCTCTGTTTATGCTGCGAAGACGAAGCGACAAGGTTTGATAAAACAAAACAACCCCAAAAGAGTAAATAAGGCGGCACAGTGAAAGACAAAAACAAAAAATTCTCCCTCGATGGACGTTAATATTTGAGTATAAAGTTCCGTAGTTTATCTTTGACCAACAGTCAAGTGCAAAACCAAATCCCATCGTAGCTTGCGCAGGTCTTCCCGCGCTTGGCGCCGGTTGCACGTTTCTGCACCTAGATCTGATTGGTTCATTGTGGTACTTGCGCTTGTTGTGATTGGTCAGATGCCATTTCTCATTCATTTGTGGAAACACTCTCTATGACGTAGAAATGCTGTTCTTTAACTTAGTTTGATCGTAGGGAGCCAAACACAAGCATTTAGCATATAGGCATCCCGCGAAGGCTTGCTAATAGAAGTCATAATAGCTCTTTTCCCGCTAAGTTAAATTGCCCAAATTGCCGCACATTCAAGTTGTATTATATATTATGATGCAAATAAGAAAAGATAACCGTGAAAAGGGATATGATTTACAAACTTCACGTGATACTCGATTCCCATACTAAAATCAATCAGAGAGAAGCGCTAAGGAATACTGGCCAGGTCTTGTTCTATCTAAGCTATTTAACCTATCACAGTACGTTAGCCTCAAATTAAGAAATCCTTCCTACAACACTTGACTCTTAAGTCAGATTTCATTTTACATTGAAACTTTACCTTGAAGCAGAGCAGTTGCGTCCTGAATTGGTTCTCGTCCTGTGAGAAGTACAAAGGAAACAACAGTCAGTTTTATTCACGTCGAGAATAGACAGATTCGGCTAACGTGCTCACATCCTTGTTGTCACGTGCTGATTCATTTGGGAGGTTACAATAGTCCTGTTTGTACATACTCCTGTGTAATCAGTTGCATGTGGCAAATTGCACAATTGCAGCCTACAAGACGAATGATCGCGTGGTCTAAATTGACTGGCAACAAGGATATAGACCTGTTAGCTGAATCAGTCAATCGAGCCTGTTGTACACCCTGAAGGAAATCAGCAGTAAATATAAGAGTTCAAATGTAGCCTTGAAGCAGCTGTCACAAACGCTATATCTGATAGTCGGGTGGGGGTTTTGCCAGCTCAGCGAGACAACATGAAGGAGTCACATCAAGAATGAAAAAAAAAGTGAGTCCAGGCTAATGATGATTCTCTCTACTGCCCAACAGTCACGCTGTAAGTAGAAATGTTTCTCACTCTGTACAATCAGACGTACATGGCGAAGGGTTGGAAATCCCACTCGTCCCTCCTTGTATCCCCGCTTTCTCTCCCCATCTCCCCCTTTTTACTCCCGCTATGCCGGGTTTTGCCAGCTCAGCGAGACAACATGAAGGCGTCACATCAAGAATGAAAAAAAAGTATTGTAAAAATAACAAACAGTGAGTCCAGGCTAATGATGATTCTCTCTACTGCCCAACAGTCACGCTGTAAGTAGAAATGTTTCTCACTCTGTACAATCAGACGTACACAGGGAAGGGTTGGAAATCACACTCGTCCCTCCTTCTATCCCCGCTTTCTCTCCCCATCTCCCCCTTTTTACTTCCGCTATGCAGAATAGAAACAAAGTAATTGCAAACACTGGCTTCGACACAAATCATTTCTCTTTTACTCACCATGTCAAGAAAAGCAGCCAGCTTTGCGATGGGCATTGTGGTGTAGAGTTTTAAATAGCTGAAAACAAATTAAAAATAATAGCTAGAGATACGTCAGATAACACAAGAAAGAAACACAGAGCTATGTTCAAAACTGTCGACACCAATACAGTTGTTGGTGAGATACAACAACAACCATCACAGAAAGAAAAACGTTTTTTTTTTTACCTTCTTATAACTGGTATAAGAGATTGTTGTGACACTTCGTTCATAAAAACCTTAAGCTGGAGATTAAACGGTTCCTGAAGATAAAAGAAAAGTTAGTGAAGACTGAGAAAGGATAAGGAAACTTTTCGTAAAGATTATGTTCATAAAACAAAAGGGAAAAGTAACATCGTATCTGCGTAAGCACCGAAATGTTGTTTAATCGAATTCAAGACTAACATTGTCTTATTTCAATGCAAAGGTTCCTGTGTGGAAGCTCAGTATATTTCGACGAAATATTTGGTCACCATCTTGAATTTTTGAACCAGGGGAAGGTTGAGGAGAGGAAAAAAATTCTACCGAGAGGGTGGACGATAGGCGGTTCGGTGAACGATCGTGAGGACATAACCGCAACCCGCGCTCCCTGATAAGACGCCCGCACTGCAGGCTAACTGGAAAGCAGGGGTTTCATTAACGTTTTCAGTAGGAGGACAACTGGTGTTCACAGGCAGGCAAAACTATTTGAACTGAACGTCTTTATAAGAAAAACGTTCGTCTAGATGGTCGAACCACTCGGGCACAGCGGGTCAATTTTCCCGGTGCCCGGCCCTTAATGAAACCCCTGCTTTAAAGCTGATCAGTCTGACTCTTTAGCTATTCTCATTAGAAACAATCAATTCACTCACCCTGTTAAAATTGGCTGGCGGAGCGTCAAAGTTTGGAGGTACAGGCGAGATGAATTTTGGACACGCGTACGAGAAGGCCTCCTCAAATGTCTGTACATCCCTGAAAAACGAAATAGTAATTTTCAAATGCTCACAAACATCTAGACAGTTGGCACTATATCAAGGATGAGTAATGTCTTTCCAGTGATTTCAGAATGAGGGAGAAAAAGTGACGGGGCTACAGGAGTAAGGGGGAGGGGCGTTTAAAAGAGTAAGGGGGAGGGGAGTCATAAAAGTAAGGGGCAAGGGTGATCATAAGTTGATAATGGTGAGCGGGGACATTTTTCTAGGACCAACAGGATGTCCAAAATGACTTGGTAAATGACACCTCCGTATATAAATTTTCTTCTCTGGCCCTTGATAATAAATGCACTAGACGACAACACGAGGAATGAATGGGGGAAAGCCGGATTAGGAGGCGTTGAGGAGGGTGACCCACCTCAAACTCCTTTCTTTACTTTCTTTACCAGTACAGTAGAACTCCGTTAATACGGTACAGGGTTTTCACAATTAGCCGGCGCCCGGCGCAAGTCACCAGCTACTTCAAGCATTTGCGCCGGGTACTTTTTGTCGCAAAGTTTCTTAATACACAATTTTGTTTCGCCAACGTAGTCATGATCTGATCTTTTTCCGGTAATAAATAAAATGGTGAAAATCTTAACAGTGCGGCTATTACCTATACATGGACCTTTCGAACTTCGAAGCAAGAGCAATATTTTTGACGGGCATTACGTACATGTACATATATCAGTTTTGTCGGCACGTGAACATTTTCCACAACGGAGCACTGTTGAAAATTAGCACTGTCGAAAATTTACGAAGGCAAACAGGTAAACTAATATTATGTGCTGTTCCAGTTATTAAAGCGACAGAAAAAGAAACAAAAAAAACACTAGTATTTGAGCTAAGTTGACCACAAATTGATCCAGCTCTCTAAGCGTCCGCGTGGTGAATGTGAGAGCAGTCTTCATCGTAAAATGTTACTCCAAACGTGCTCCAAACGTATTCTAAGTAACGGTTTGAAAGGTGTCTTAACACTAAAGGCCTTCATCAACGCAAGCGCTCGGAATTTAAGACAAACGAAAACTCAAAAAAATGTCAAAAAATCGAAACAGAAACGAAACGAGATCGCTGATTTGTTGTTATACTTAATGTACGTGACAGGAAAGATATCACCGGAAATCGCTTCAATCCTTTCACGATAATGCACCTAATTCATCTGCAGCTATTTTTCATTACAAAGACTAAAACGATCTTCATATTGAAACTTTTTTCCTTGAACTTGCATAATTGAAATAATATCATTAACAAAATTACAGTTGATTCATGTTACTACAGTTTAATTGAATTCCAAGCCAAACATGGTACTGCAATGTAACAAGTACCGATGGAACAAAAAGCATTATGTAGCATTTTATAAGTGAACTTCCACAGAAACTCATCTTGCAATGAGCGAATTTTTAACAAACTCTTGTTAAAATAAAGTGTACAGTAGCCTCCAACAAAATCAGTTTTCGGTCATCAAAATGCACCGCGACACAGATTTTCAAATTCTCCAGGGTCTTCACCCCATCCCCCCCCCCTCCCCCGTGCAGGAGGGGGTAAGCCAATCCGGCACTCTTCTACACGTGTGGCCTCCTTTATTATGACCCTAGGAGTGCGCCGCCTACTTTATGATTTCCTCCTGCTACTTTATTTCAATTTCAAAACCCTGAATACGGTCACCAACAGGCCATAAAAATTTGGCCGTATTAACGGGGTAGGGTCAAATTTCATGACTAGTCTAAACTGAGTGATGTTTCAACAAATAAATCACAATAGCACTTCTAAACAACTGTACTTTACATTGCATCAGGAATGCAGATATATTTAAAAAAAAAAAAAACTTCAATCGGTACATTCAATATTAACAATGTAAAGATGAACTTAACTGGTTTGAGTGGCCGTATCAACGGGGTAATACGTTCATGTAATGGACGTTTCGCCGGGACAAAAAGAGAAGTGGCCGTAATAACGAGGTGGCCGTATTAGCGAAGTAACCGTAAGGCGGGCTTCCACTGTATCACGTTACCATGATCTTTGTTCAAAAGAGAGAGAGAGGATTTAATGAACACAAATTTAAAATGAAACCTACCCACGCTGCAGCCTTTGCAATCGGTCTCCACACTTTTCACGAAGTTGTGAATGAACGTTCTCATCAATTCGCTACAACAAGAACAAAATGTACAAGAATGTTTTATGATATGGCAAACTAGTCCAAGATAAAAAGGGGAATTGAGCTGTCCGAATTTTGGAATACAGTCCACATGCTTGATTTCCAAGATCTACCAAACTATAGATATTAATCCCAAAGCATTCCATACCTGTGGACATAACGTCAAACAAATGGCCAACAGTGTATACATCTGATCATTCTTCTTCATAATCTGAGACAGAAAATTAAAGGGTACTTGAAACCACACAACTCTTCAAGTTCAATTGACAACATCACTTAAACACATGAACAAAATAGCACGACTTGATCCTTCTCCTGGCTGTGCTTGGGCAATGAAAACACAGCAGCAAGTGTTATGCTACTTACAAGACAAATTGCCCAGTAAAGCAGTGTCCCTAACAGGGTAATGCAATGTAATTACCAATTAGATGAAAAACTCAAAATTTCTGTAACGTGAAAGTTGATAAGGCTGAAGGCCAAATCGACTATCACCTCATAGAAATCGAGAGCGAATAATCCAATTGTTTTAGTAGAAGTCCGACATATCAAGCCGTATTTAAATTCACGCTTAAGCAAAAACCGCACGGATGAAATTGTTGTTTGAAATTTGCAGCTGTTTACATACGTTCATCAGTTCATTTCACGTGGTGGTCAATTTCCTTTCTTGAATGTTCCTGAGAACGGAATTATCCATTAATATTTCTATATCTTCCTCGAAACAGCGGAGAAACATGTTGAAGATGACCTCAAGCCACCGCGCACTAATGGCCTATAGTGTACAAGTAGCTCAGCCAACTAAATTGCAGCATTTGCAGTAGTATACTAGTAGAATTCTTCCAAAGAGTTGCATGCGAAGGTAGCTCTTTGCTGCTCGGGACTTAAGATCCCTTAACCATCACAAGAATTAAAGTAAACAGTCAATTGGCCACGCCATGCAATATTTGAAACACACAACAACACACACACACTTTATGAAGAACTCTTAGTAACAAAATAAGATAATTGAAGCAGAAAATAAGGTAAATTCACCCAGAATAACTTAGAAGCTAATCAAGCAGAGTTAAATTAAATAGTATTTAATATATAAAGAAGTTGGTTGGCAGTAAAGCTTAAAGGGGGCG